ATATATATATATTAGAATGGTGAATATAAATGAATCTCCTATTCAAATACATTATTCAAAATTTAAGCCATAATGAAGACATGTTTTCCATATTGCTCCAAGGCTATAGGTGAATAACAGGTGTTTGAACTGCATGGGTCCACTTAAATGTGATTCTTTTTCAATACGTAGAGTACTATAAATGTACTCATGATTTTCTTAACATTTTCTTTCTTTAGCTTATTTTGTTGTAAGCATACACTTTATAAAACATATACAAAATATATGTTAATCAACTGTTGATGTTATTGGTAAGGCTTCCAATCAACAGTAGGCTATTAGCAGCTAACTTTTGGAGGGAGTCAAAAATGACATGCAGATTTTCAACTGCATGGGACGGAGTGGGTAAAGGGTGTCAGCGCCTCTAAGCCCTGCATTGTTCAAGAGTCAACTACAGTCTCTAACTAAGAGAAAAAAGAGAAGAGAAATACATACCATAGCAATAAATATAATTTTTGTAAACTTTCGGTGTCCTCATAAAACACGAGATGAAAACAAGTCTCAGATGATACTTTTCATATAAAAGAATATCAGAACACTTACATATCACTATTCTTACTTTCTAATTTTCTAACCAAGAATAAGAAAGTTCCATTTCAAATGTTAAATTCCTTTGAAAAAGTAATATTTTTTACCTATTTTGAACTTTTTAATGAAAAATAACACATTCATAAAAGTAAATTCATAAGTGTATAGCTCAATGAATTTTCACAAAGTGAACAACACACCTGTGTAACCAGTAAGGGTTCAGTTTTGACAGAACAATGTCCACATTATCTTAAACAGTACCTACCCTTCCAGGAAGAACAACTGCTTTAACTACTCTCGATACACCAAGATCATAAAGACAGAGAATGCTTCCTTCAGCTTCCTCCAATCCAATTAACAATCCAGTCCTTTTCTGCCAAGAGAATTCTTTTACAGCTAGGACTATAGGTGGCTCTTCATTCACTCCGCTGAACCTATATGCGGACAATCGCTCTCCTGTTAGAGAGTTTACTACTTCAAGTTGTGGACCACAAGCCAAGCAAGCAAGTCCATTTTTCCCTAGGGGAAAAAAAAAAAGCAAAAATGTTTTTTATTTTAATATCACATGTACACAATAAACCTAAACAGCAGTTAACTTTTACATATATAACATATATAGCTCCTTATATAAAACTTTACATATTATCTATAGATTGAAATCTAAACATTTATAAAATGGAGTGGTTCTAAAATTAGTAAAATAAATTGAACAACAATAAAATAATAATAATAAACATTCCACAAAGGCACCATGCTATGTGATTAAATAATCTCATTTACTCCTTGTCAAACTTTAATACAGAGATAAAGTAGCTAAACTTTCCTACAGTTAAATAATTTGCCCATTCAGTTAAACAACTAGCCACACAGCAACAAATATCAGAGCCAGAAGTGGATGCCAAGTCTAATTCAAAAGCTAATACTTTAACTACATTATACCATTAAAGTAGGTGCTATGGGAGTTATAAAATATAACACATGATTCTATCCCCAAAGGGTTCAAAATCTGAGAAGACAAGACATAAGTAGCATAACAATAGAAATATCAGAAGTCCTTTTTGGCCCCATACTAGTCACGTTTGGATTTTACTCTGCATGCAACGAAAACTGGAGAGTATTAAGCAGGACAGTGACAATCTGATTTGTTTTTAAATGTTACTCCAGCTGCTATGCAGAGAATAGACAATAAGGGGGAAGCAGAGAGAAGTAGGGAAATGATAGCTATGCCATTTGGTGGCCATTAATAGGAAAAATGGATTGACTGGAGGTTCATCTTAGAGGCAGAAAAGGATCTGCTTGTTGATGAGTACGATATGACGAGGTGAGTAAACCAAGAAAATCAAAAACAGACCCTGAATTTTTCCTTGAACAGTAGACAGTGGTAACTTTACTAAATTTGCGATGTTTCTCATACAGCTAAGTAGACAGTAGGATATACTAAATTATATCTGACGGGAAGCTATATAAATAAAGAAAATAGCATGGCACGGTGGGGACCATAAATACATAGGTTCAAAGCACATTTTTGCCACTTGCTATCTATGTAACTAAAATTAACTTACTTCGCCTATTTGATTCTCAGCTACACACAAGTGGCTTCTTAGAAAAGCCTAATACTTATCTCAATGAAAAGCTGTTACGGTGCCTGGCATATAGTAGGTACTGTTACTACTTTTAATAGCCAAAAGAATAGCACTGTAAATAGCTAAGTGACTGACATGTTTTTCTGTCTTCTTACTAGTAAGGATGGTTGTGAAATTCACTTTCAGAAAAGTCTTCTGCAATATCTTTCATTAGACCGAAATCCATAATTTAATGGCTCCTTTGGTACGATTTTCTGCTGTATTATATAATCTAAAACATATATTGAGAGCTTTTTCAGTTTAATGAAATTAATAGATATGACTTCGTGATCATTTTGTATCATCCGGGACACTAAAATCATAATTTTTCTACTCATAAGACTGTTTAGGTTCTAATCCTAACTGACTCAATAAAACTTACTGATTTAAAAAAAAAAACAAAACAAACTCAGCTATGTATTATTTCTACTTTCCAAATGTAGATACTCAATATTAAAATATATAAAATATATTTTTAAAAAAGAAAAATGAACTATATTCTCCCCCAGTCACTAAAAATGTGTTCTAGAGTATGTACATTCTTACAAATGTAGTTATAGATATTATATATTTATATAGGACCACTTCAACCAGGTTCTGATTTTTTTCTCATCCACATTAAAGATACTGCAATAGATGTTTATTATCACTTATCTTACAAATAAATCGAATTGGTACATTTTCAGCAATATTATTTTACCTGCAGCAAACTTTCCACGAAGCACAGATTCCAATGTTATTTCATCTTCTCCAAGGGCTTGAACAGTCACCTCCGGGAAGTGCAGAAGACCACTAGTCACTTGTGCTGTTAAGTCGTGCATACTTCCACTGTAAATATTTTTAAAACATAACATTATTATGATATACTCCTATTACAATACACTTTATTATCTCTCAGAAGAAAAAGAAAAAGCCACCACCAAAAATAAACTGAGACTAAAAAATACATCTTATGTGCTTCTGGGTCTTAAGGTGTTCTCTCCTAAGAAAATATTTCCCAAACAGCCTTAGGAGAGTAAAATTTCATTAAATCAGATGTCTTAAGGATAATATATGATTATCTGAAAACTGGTTCAATGCAATTAATCTTATTGCCTGACTCCCAAAGAACACTTCACAGACAATAACAAAAAAAAAAATGTATTTTACAAAATTACTGCTACAATAAAAGGAGAATCCATGAAAAATGTCCAAATCCATAGTAACCTCAGGAATTGAGTCTGACACATCATTAACTAGACAGAAAAAAAAACATCTAAAATTATCTTTCATTTTCAATATATAGAAGACTAAACTCCCTGAATAACCCTCCCATTGTAAACAATCAAAAATGGCAGTTAAAATGTAAATATATCATTTTGGATGATTACTGAGTTGGCAAAGCCAAAAGTAAAGAGATGTAGGACTTTTGAAAGACATATAAACTGGCTTGGGCCTTGAGAGTTAACTATTAAATCTAGTCCTGGTGACCTTGATCTTGTTTTCAGCACTCTGAGATCCCCAGAGGCAGAAGATAAAGCTTAGGGCTAACAGAGCCAAAGCAAGCTACAAGCCTCCCCACCCCACCACTCCGTTAAACTAGGGGTATATCAGCAGCATAAAGGTGAGAGAAACAGCCATAATTCAAGATAGGGAACAATAAAACTGTTTTGACCTTAGCTTTAAGTCACTACTCAGAAAATTTCCCTTTGCACAAATTAATGGCCAGAATTTAAACTATGTTATCTGAAAACACTCAGGTAAAGAATTTATTATAAAGTATTCTCAGGTTGGTAATCCTCCCAAGAAACCCACAGAAATCACCAAATATTCTCTGGAATTTCAGAGTTCTCAAAGATGAAGTTCCAAAGAAAATGAGTTCACATCAAAATAACAAAACATAACAAGGATACCACAATCAAAAGCCAGCAGAATCAGTCTACCAAAGACTTCAGATATTGAAATCAGAAAACAGAAAATATGTATGTTTAATCTGCTTTAAAAAATCTAAAGATTTAGCTTACTAATGAGAAACTTCAAAAATCAAAATGAAAACCGGTTAAGTAGATTTGAAAAAAATAGAACTTCTAGAATGAAAAATGAAATAAGTAAAATTTAGAACAATGGGAAAAACCCGACGGGGCAATGAGAATGCTGCAGCTGCATGCGGCAATATGGACAAACATCAGAATATAATATTAAACAATGAAAGTAGAAGAAAATACATGTAAATGATTACATTTATATAAAGCTAAAAACACTAAAATATTAAACAAAATATTGCCTAAAGATACAAACATATGTAGCAAAACTATGAATAAAACAAGGAAAGAATAAACATAAAATTCGCAACAGTACTTACCTTTGAGAGGAGGGAAAGGGGGTTAGAATGGAAAGGAATATACACAGGACTCCAAGGTAATAATAAAGTTCCTAAAATTTGGTGGTGAGTACATAGGTATCATCTTTATAACTTACAAATATTCTTTTGTGCCCACTCGACAAATAACGAAGAGCGAAGAGAAGACCTGTGTTTATAACACTAATAATAAGGAAGAGGCAATATTCTAAAAGATATTTCCCAGATTTGTAGAGATAAAATAATTCTCTGAAATCAGGAAAACCAGAGAATCCTAGGTAGAATAAAAAGAAATGACATTGACAATAGTAAAAGCCGGAAGTCTAAAACAGCTTCAAAATTCTAAGCAAAAATAACTGTCAATAATTATATATTACTGAAATTATCCTTAGGAACGAGGACAAAATATATTTTTAGACAAAAACTGACCTTATCACAAAAAGACCCTTTCCTTAATGGGAATTCTAAAGGATGATAGGTAGAAGACTTCAGGTAGAATAGTGATCAGACAGATGGTCTGAGATACAAAAAGAAAGGTGTGTCAAAGTACCAGTAAATAAACTGAAAAATCTAAAGTACAGATTACATAACAATAATAATGGCATAGTCCTCTTATTACCTGAGGGAATAAAGATACACTGGTTCACTTTAGACTCTGTTACATAGCTATGTTGAAAATATATACAGTTCACCCTTGAACAAGACTGCAGGGGTCCACTTATATGTGGGTTTTTTTTTCCCCCAATAAATACTATAAACAGTCTCTCTTCCTTATAGTTTTCTTAATAACTTTTTTTTAATTCTAGCTTACTTCATCCCTACCCACCATGTGGTACAGGAAGAGGTATAAACAAGAATGTATTTATCAGTAGTTTTCTAATAGCAAAATACTAAAAATAACCAAACAAGAGAATGAAGAGAAATGTGCCTTATTAGACAATAAAAACATACTATTACACTATAATAATTAAAACAATTTGCTAAGAGGGCAGTAATGGACAAATAGGTCAATCAGACAGATAATCTAGACACAGAACCACAAAAATTCAGCAGATAAAAAAAGCACATTTTGATATATTCCAGAGAGGAAGTACTGACTATTCAATTAATGTATTGGTATAATCTGCTACTCATTCCAGCAAAGAAGTTACACATGGTTACCTACACACAAACTATACAATCCTCCCTTAATATCTAGAAATTGAATAATATGTGTCTGTGTGTGCACACATTGACGTACACATCAACGAAGCAATACAGAAGAAATGAGCTCAAAAATCCGGAGAACTCTAATACCCTTCAGTTTGGAGAGAAGTAAACCAAAGGGGTGACTAGATAATCTTAGGAAAACTCCAGGAAAATTTCAGGTCCAGAAGCCTCTAATTACATGCACCACAAACCTCAGCAGAGGGCCATCTTATAGGGCACTGAGGCTGATTTTGAGGAGAAAAGCATTTGAAGTCCAAAGGAGTCTCCCTGGCAGGACAGTGATCCCAGATACAAGTCATTTCACCAGGTACAAGGTTTCCCAGCAGGGACTACACTCAATTTTAACACTCAGCTCAAGTCACTTTCATAGAAGAAAATCAATACTCTCAAATGGAAACCTGTGGCAAAACAATAGTTTTAACAACCACTCGAAAGATCTTTCTTAAAAACAAACACCACTTTTCAAAGAAATAACTGTTGTATTAAAAGAATTATCCTAAATTTAATAATTCTTGTCCCTTAAATTTCAGTTTCTCTTATAAAATTAATTTTCTATAAAATAGCATTTACAGTTTATTCCATTTCATAGAACTAGTCTCTGCATGAATTCTTCTGTGTATCTGCATACAGATGAGATGTCTGAAACAGTCAGACATCTCATAAAACAAAATCTAAAATAAAACAGGAAAAACAGGAGATATTTATGTAATCTCAGGATGGAAATCAACTTTAATATTCACTAACAATCAAGAAAATGCCATGTTAAGTCATGATACCGTTTTTGCCAACCACCGTTAAGGATATAAAGGGACACACATGTGCTTATCTACTCTTATGGGAAGCATAAACCGGGACAGCCTCTTCAGAGGATAATTTGCCAGATCATGATTTGACATGGACAAATCTACTGACATGGTAATTCTAGAACTTTTATCTCCTATAAGCAAAAGACTTACATCCTCTATCTCACTCATTTGGAGCAAGATCATCTGGAGAAAGAAATCCCTGTCACTCCATGACTTCAAATATTGTTATGTCACAACACAATTCCTTCCAAAGCAACAGACAGCACTAAGCACTTTCTATCTGGATGCCACCAGGTCACCTCAAACTCAACATTTCCAAAATGAAACAATCTTTCTCCCTCCTCTTTAGAAATCTGTTCCTTTTCTTCTACTTCCTCTCTCAGTTAACGCTTCCATACACCTTCCCAGAAACTCTGAGGACCCAGGTAAAACAATGATTCTTTGAGAAACTTTCCTTGATGACGAGCCCCCTCCTTACTCGCTCACATCTGGGATAAGTTGTAATTCTCGTATTTGTTCCTAATGAACCTGGTACTTCCACCATCACGTATGGCATTTATCACACTATATAAGTGCCTGTGTCCTCAACTAGACTGAAAGTTCTTAGGGGACAAAAATATACCTTACTTACCATTTTATTCCAATAGTTTCCATACTGTGGAGGTAGTACAAAATATTGGTTAAATGCATCAAAAAGTGGTGTCCTTTTCCTTTTTCTCTCCTTACCATGCAATATAAGTGGTCACCAAAAACAGCCCACTTTACCCTCCTCCCCAAAAAATCTGCATTCCAGTCCATCATTTCTACTTCTAATAACCCAGCTTTTGTCAAATGCCTGATCTCTAAACTATCTGGTCTTTCGACCTCCAGTTTCTTTTCTTTTTTCTTTTTATTTTTTTGTGTGTGTCCACAAAATTTTATTACTGACCTCCAGTTTCTTGTTCTTCATTGCCATTCTTATCCTTTACTCAAAGCTATATAAATAGCAAGTAGTTAGGTCTCTCCCCATCAAAAAAAGTTTATGTAAAAAAAATTTTTAAGTCCCTCAAAAAGTTAATTAACAAAAGATATCTGTTAATTTTCTGTTCAGGCTATAAATGCTATTTTCTAGATAAAATTATAATCAACTACCTCAGAAAATATATATGCCACAATTAACTCAAGAAACTTTAAAAGTTATATCTGAGATTCTCTACTCATTTAAAGTGGAAGTCTGTTTATTACCTAAAACAGTTCCAAAAGTAAATTTAATACAGACATTAGATTATAATTACTATATAGTCAATGGAAAGTAATGACCATTAGCCACCGACTGAAAAACCTCTTATATTTTATATGATAGTCTGAGGTTTAACCTTTAGTTCCTGAAAGTATTATATTTACACAACTTGATCACAGCCTCCTCCTAAGAATCTTAGTACCAAAGAAAATTTTAAACATAGGTAGGAAAGGCCATAATCACATTGATATTATTTTGTTTTCCACTCTGATACTCTTCTACAACTTTGATAAAACCAGTCTAAAGGTAAATTGAAGTTTTCCTATTAAACTAAACATTTTCCTATTAAGTGTAAAACCAAAGTCATTTCTCCAGAGCTAAAACCTTCAGAATTCCATGTAGTAGCTATTCCCAAAGTGTATTCAGTGGAGTGTTCAGGGATATTCAGCAAAAAAGTTCCATGACCACTGCAATTCAATCAAAATCATCCCAAAAGAATTTTTTAAAGACTTTCACAAGATGATTCTAAAATTCATCTGAAAGAATAATGCGCACTAATCAATTTTTTGAAAATAAAATATAAATGTTCTATTTCTTACGCTGGATGTGTTTGCTGTTGTTACATTGTTTTTAAAATAAAACAAAGATTATGATGTGGAAGTACTGGCTCAAACAGCCACACTATTTAAAAAGTGAATTTAATTTCTACTCCAGATATATCCTCACACTTGAAAAAATGGGACAAATATGTGAAAGAAGAAGTTCAGACAATGGACAACAGGTAGTAGCATAGGATAGTGGTCCCTGAGGGAAGTAAAACAAACAAGATGACTTCTAGGACTGTATCAATCTACTGTGTATAGCGCGTCCAAGACACAGAGTAGAGAGGGGGAACCCAAATGAGCCCAAGAGTCTTCCAGAGTTGAAGAGACAGAATTGAGAATACAGAATACCACAAAGCCAAAAGTGGCTAGAATTCATGGGCAGAGTAGTGCAATACAATGGGCCATATAGAGAGCTCCAGAGATCTGCAGTAGCTTCCCGTGAATCTCCACATGATCAGTGTAAGCATGTAAGGAAACTGCCAGAAGCCAAAGGAATGAATCATTGGAAAGGTAAAGGAGAAAATCCCCAGAGCATACAAAGGGCCAGGAATAGCTCTAGAGTGGAAAAACCTCATAATACTTGGGGCACAGAGTACTCAGAAAGGTATTGACTACTTCAGTATTAGAGAAGAAAAAAATACCCTTATCTAAAGGCTACTCTGGTCTTGTCTAAAAAAACTCAAAAAAGCAAGCATTAAAGAATCAATGTTTCCTGGGCTCTCTTCAGCAGCATATACTAAAATTGGAATGATACAGAGAAGATTAGCATGACCCCTGTGCAAGGATGAAAAAAAAAAAGAATCAGTGTTTCTAAGTAACTTAGCTGCATCCTACAACAAAGCTCAAAAATATGTTAAAAAAAAAAAAAAGCAAAAATTTTCAGTACTCGAAGAAAGTAAGATTCATAATGTCTGGCATCCAATTAAAAATCGTCATGCATGCAAAGCAGCAGGTTAATATGACCATGATAAGGGGGAAAGAAACAGACCTAGAAATGACACATAAATTAGAATTACTAGGTGAGGAAGTTAAATCAGTTATTCCAGCTATAATCCCTATGTCCAAGAAGATAGAGGAAAGCATGAGCATGTTAAGGAGAGATCTGGAAAATGTAACTAAATCAAACTTCTAGCGATAACATATACATTGAATGGGAATAACAGATTAGACATAGAAAGTATCAATAAATGTAAACACCCACAATAGAAACTATCTAAAATGAAGCAAGAGAAAAGACAAATCTATGGGAGAACCTCAAGTGCCCTAATATTTGTAATACAAGTCTCCAAAAAAAGAGAGCAGAAATATTTGAAAAACTAATGGCTAACTTTTTTCCAAATTTGTTGACAACTATAATCCCACAAATCCAAAGTCAGTAAACCTCAAAGGACAAGAAACATAAAGAAACTGCACCAGTATACATCGAAATCAGAGACAAAGAGAAAATCCTCCCGGTAAGCAGTGAGGAAGGGGGATGATGATAGGAGACTTGTTGAAAACAACGCAAGCCATACGACAGTGGAACAACATATTTTAAGTTCTGAAAGAAAAAAGCTTTTATGACATGCCAGGATTGGCAACCTGTAAAAAAAAAGAAATTTACAAAGTTTCAACTCCTTCTCAAGGTCTAGCTAGCAGAGCAATAACATTGTTCATTTTCTAGATAAAGCACATGGATTATGTCACTCCCCTTCTCAAAACTCTTTAATGACTCCCTACGGCATGTTAAAATCAACATCCTCAGCCATTGGCAATCAAAGCTCTACAATCTGGCAACCCCAGACTATCTTTACTGTGTTTTCTCCCAAAACAACTTCCTTCATCAGTTTGCTATTGTCTAGCACTTTCATTTTATTTATGCTGTTCCCCTTTCCATCTCCATCTGCCAAAACCCATGATTCAAGGACTAGATTCCCAGTGTGGTCTGGGTAGATCTATCCTTTCCTAATAAATCTCATCCCTAAGCTCATTCCTTTCCACTTTTGTGTTAGTAATCCTAAATTTAATTTTTTAAATTCATTACTTGTGTTTGCCTGTCTCCTTTCCTCCACTATACTCGGAATTCCTAATTCAAAAATCACATCTTAGTCCTATGAATTCATGATGGGCTCATAATGCTTTACTACTAATACGTCCTAAACATGAGGTAAATTAGGATAGCAAGACACTAGAGGAAACAGGAATAGACATGTTAAACAAAAAAAATCTATTTTTTAAAAAATCGAAATTCTTAAAACCCAACAACCACCGAATTTTTTAAAAAGCGAAAAACCTTGACACGTCAATAAAGATACAAAGGTAGCAAATAAGCACATGAAAAGATGCTCCACATCATGTCATCAGGGAAATGCAAATTAAAACAATGACATACCACTACACTGCTATTACAATGACCAAAATCCAGAACACTGACAACACCAAATGCTGGTGAGGATGTGGAGCAACAGGAACTCTCACTGCTGCTGGGAATGCAAAATGATACAGCCACTTTGGAAGACAGTCTAGCAGTTTCTTACAAAACTAAACATACCATGGGATCCAGGAATCACACTCCTTGGTATTTTTCCAAAGGAGCTGAAAACTTATGTCTACACAAAAACCTGCACATGAACATATGTAACAGCTTTACTCATAATTGTCAAAACCTAGAAGCAACCAAGATGTCCTTCAGTAGGTGAATGGATAAATTAAAAGTGGTACATTCATAAAATGGACTATTAGTGCTTTTAAAAAAAAAGTTATCAAGCCATGAAAAGACACGGAGGAAACTTAAATGCATATTACTAAGTGAAAAAAGCCATTATGAAAAGGCTATATACTGCATGATTCCGACAATATGACAATTCTGGAAACGGCAGAACTGTGGAGAGTAAAAATATCAGTGGTTGCCAGGGGTTAATGAAGAGGGAGGGAAGAGTAGGCAGAACATAGAGGATTTCTAGGGCAATGAAACTACTCTGAATGATACTATACTGGTAGATACATTCCGTTATACATTTGTCCAAATCCACTGAATGTGCACTACCCAAGAGTAAACCATCATGTAAACTATGCTCTTTGGATGATAATGATGTATCAATGTAGGTTCATCAGTGTTCTGCTCTGGTGCCGGATGTGGATAAACATGCACGAGTGGGAGCAGGAAAGGGGTATACTGGAAATCTCCGTATCTTCCACTCAATTTTGGTGTGAACCTAAAATTGCTCAAAAAATAAAGTCTATTAAAGAGGGAAAAAATTCAATATTAGGCCCAATTTATGTTTAAGTATGCTACATTGTTTTATTATTAAGCAGAACAAAATTTGCAAAATTACTAGGAAAGATATTAATATAGAATACCATAACTCAGCTGTGTGAAATACATCCTCAAAAGCAGCTGAATTCACTACAGAAAATAAAACTCATCTACTTGCTCAATAATTATACTGCAACATACACTGAGCAAACATTTCTATAAAACATTTTGTATGCGTTTTTACTTTTTCTTTTTGGCTCATAAAGATTAAGAATTATGATCGAAATGTAAACTACCAGTGGACCCAGAAACTCCCAACCTTTTAGAAGTTGTTTTTTCAAACTTAAGCCAAACATTAATCACCAACTACTTTTAAAACTTTGCACTGAGAAGGGAAGACAGTGGCAGAAAGATGACCGACTTTCTGACCTCAAGGAGTTTACATTCTGGAAGAGATACATAACCATTAGAATATCAGACACAAATGCATGCTACGGTAGAGCCCAGAGAAGAAGAGGGCTAAAGGGAAAATGAAAGAGTGCATAGAAAAGATGACATTTAAGCTAAGTAGGATCTGAAGACTTGAAAAAGGCAGAGATGGGCACTCCAGGATGAAGGACACCGGCAAAGGAACATCAAAGTACATTTTCAAGAAAATGAACCCAGGATTGGAGACAATTCTGGAATAACTGAAGTATAAATCGTGACTAGCTAAGGATGGAGAGCAGAACTGCCCTGCCTTATTGTAGAGACCCCGTTAACCTAACCTGGGGCAGTTAGACTTCATTCTGAAGAATGAGGAATTCCTGTAAATGTTCATAGTTAGGAAAAGAAACAATGTTTTTGTTTCCTCTTAAACCTAGACACATGTAGGTTTATCGCAATCCTGCAATCTTAAAAAATAATTTTTAAAATATAATTATTGCTATTTTGCCAATTGGTGACACGCTGGTACTAGGTTATTGAAAAATTATTATCAAAAACTACAGTACAGAGAGAATGTAGACTTCCCAAGCACTTAGCACACTTGGAGCATCTCTCAAGCATTAACTTGAGCTGGGCTTGTCATCCCTGGTCAAATCCCCCAAAATAAGTAAACTCATCCTAATTTCTTCTCTCCACAAAGACCCAATCAGTGGAAGTTCAAGAAAGGAGGTTTTAAAAATCTCCTGGCTCCTTAGGATATTTTGAGAATAAAATGAAGTTCAGAGTTTCAAAGAGACTTATATTTTTACCTAAAGGACTCAGGTTCTTCCAAATAATTCTCAAACTGCCTATTCGAAAAAAGATAACAGCTAGTATGAACCTCGTTGGCTTTGAGAACAAATTAACTCGCCCCCCTCCCAAAAAAAAAAAAAAAAAAGTCAACCAGTAACAAAATAGCCTTCAAGTTTCCAGGTGGGACAAGTAAGGTAAATTAATACCCACTCCAAGATGTACGCTTATTTTAAATCTCCTTTTCTCTGACCAACTCATTGCACCTTTCAAACCACGAGTAAAACTTCTCGGCCCTGGACTCACCGGAGCCAAGCCCAGGAGCATGTGCAGCATACATCAACGTAAGATTCACTCAAAACACCGCCAGGTTCCCAGAGAGGAAGGCCCACCGTGGTCTCATCCGCACTGAAAGTCATCATGGAAGAGACCGTGCGGTCGAGCCTGACCTGGGAAGGGAGGGTAAGGACCCGGCTGCCAGCGCGGAAGGCGCGGGGGGTGGACCCCGAACCTTTTCTCGCCGCCATGTGCCGCCGCTCCGCGAACGGAGGTTATATAACCCGCGCCCGGAGCGAGCCGTAACCGCCAACGCTCGCATTTGCCCCTCGGGCCGCGTCTGCGAGCCGGGACGCCGCCGCGCGCTGGGCGGATATAAGCCCGGCCTAGCCCGGCACGAGGCGAGGCGAGGCGCGGCGGGAGAAGCCGGGCCGCCGCTCCGGGCACAGGCCGCGCCGGCCCCACCCCCTCCTTCG